GGAGAAATTCTCCGCGTCCCATCGGGGCCGGAATCGCTTAATTGCGCTGCGATCCCGCTTCGGACCGAAGCGCCGACGACCCGGCCATGGGCGAGCCAGAAGCGAGCGGTACGTGACAGCGCCGGGTTTGGGGAGGCGATGGGACGTCGGCGTGTTAGAGGACGAAGCTCCTCCAGTTGGGGTTTGGGTGACGACCCCGGCTTCCCCGAGGCTTCCTCCAACGGGGAAAGGGTTCGAGGCACTCGTGCTCTCCCTGAAGAGACGGGGAGCACTCGCACGTCCTCGGCTCTGACACAAATGGGCTCCCAGGCCTTGTTCTTGAAGGTGACGACCTTAGTTACGAATTTGAGTGATTTGAAGCAGAGAAACTCTTCCCGGTTGAGCATCTAAGGGGGCTCTGCCGCCCCCGAGCGCACGGAGCCCTCCTGCCAGAGCCCCGGCTTCTACGGGCGGGAGGTGAGGGAAACAAAACCCAACAGCAAAGCGATGTCGGTCCCTTCAGAAACGTTCCCCCTGTAGCTAGACAAGTCGTTAGTCTGGCTGAAAACGGAAAAAGCCCTCAGCGGAATTTCCACAGCTCATACGCGGGGGTGGGTAAAGGATGTCGCGGGGTCTTTGATGAAAGTTGAGCTCGTTCAGAAACTACCGTGAGACATTCTTCCACTCTGGAGCTTTTCTTTTTTGCCTTCAGTAACATCCGAATCCACCTCAAAGCTCTGCGATAAGGGGCTGCCTCCAGGCAGATCTCTCCTCAGGGCAGGTGACGAAACAAGCCCCATCGTTTCATAAACCCACCAAAGGGTGGGAATCTCGCTCCGAGATTCCCCCTAGAGACGACCCCGTGCGTCGATTAAACTGTTTTTAATGCGCAACCAAGAATATCCCCCAAAATGTAGAAGTCGGATGCCCTGGAGTAACCCAGCCGTGCTTTGTCGACAAATTCTCACTGTCACGGAGGTTTATTTCATGGCTCGTTCGCAAAACTGAGACGATTGGCAGAATTATTTTATTTAGTCTTATTTTGCCAGCCAGTAACTGTCTTAGATTTGTCCTCCCATTGCGAATTGGGAGCTCCTTTACTGTGTTCCATAACCGAGAGCATCCGCTGTGCTCCCCCGTCAGGCTGAATCTTCTTACACATTTCCTTATTCTGAGTGTTTCCCTCCAGGGCTGCCGATCGCCTCATTTTGGTTTTGCAAACCGATGCTCGAGCGCTGCTCTGGGTCGTCTCGGAGGTTTGCAGGTTTTGGTTAGAGGTGGAGGATTTCAGGCGCAGCCTGTTTGGGAGCGTTCAGATCTCAGCGGGCAGGGTTTGGGGTTATTTTGCACGAGTCCGTTTTTGGCCAGAAACGGGAGATTCGTCCCTGTGGAAAAAATTCTGATGTTGCGTTGCAAAAGCACGAGACCGAGAAGAGGAAGGAGCTGCCAGGAAGAGGCTTGTGATAGCGAGGTTTGGCAACGCCGTGTTGGGGTTTTAGACCTTCACCTCGTTTCACGGTAACTGTGGCCGAAGAGGAAGCAGCGCTTCTGCCCCACGGCAGCACGAGACCTCCTCCTGCTAAAATTACCCTCGGCGCTCCGCACAACCACCGCTTGGGGAGCTTCCCCTCCCCG